CCTTACAAGAAGCACTTGACCTATTCAAGGTAAATGTGAACATATATAAATATAATAGACAAATAGAGTTATTTTTGTCGAGGAGTAGACACAATTATATAGATACAGAACCATCAGCTATCTCTATCCATGATGATGAAACGGATTTCACATCCACAATGATCCCTACTCAACAGTCTATAGAATGATTTGAAATATAATCGGTGCCATCTATCCAATAACTGATAGGATAATAAAATAAACCTTACACCCTATAATGCAACATCAACTAAGATATATAAATAAATGAGCTAAAACAAAACACACATGGCCTGAATATTGCATTCAAGAAGGAAACAGACTTGGTGTTGACCTCAGTGTCCACTTTTATATTTTAAATCCAGAGTTCGGTAATAATTTATTTCAGACAGACAACTACTTCATTCATCACTTACCATCTATCTATTTGGATTATCCTTACAACTTATATATATATATATAAAGGGAGAGAGAGAAATGTAGTGGCCAAAGAAATTAACACTGCATGTCTCAATTGTGATATTGAATATTCTCCCTTTTTTAAACAGTATGATAAATAATTTTATTTTTTATAAGGAATTAACGGGAGATATGAAATTAGATTAATAACATAATATTCACCGATAAATATAGCAACTTTTTAATATATACATAATAATTTTTGTTTTTTAAACAAAAGAAAACATTTGAACATTTCATAACTTACTTACCTCCCCTGCATACATCGTGAAATTTAAATCGTACAATACTTAACCTTGGCATTTTTTCAATTCACAGTTAAAACATTCAGATGAACACAACAATTTTGCCTTATAAAGTACTCGGAATAAATTAATATGTAGGAACATGGTAATTTTCTCACTTTCTTTAATAAGGTTACGAAGAAGCCTGTCCGTGAATATGAGAGGATCCTATTGAAAATAGGTAGACAATACCTTTCTAAATTATTCAATGAGTCTTATATATATATATATATATATATATATATATATATATATATATATATATATAAAATAGAGAGAGAGAGAGAGAGAGAGATCCAGACTTATTACTACATAGACACAATGGAATAGTTTTCAAATGCCGACACAAGAACAACCTAAACCTAAGTAAATGCATTGAGAAATAATTATATAGGAAGAATAATATTGAATGACTTTTGTTCTTTTTGCTTTTGGAAATATTACTATGCACGCATGAGCGCCAATACATGACTGTATGTATATAACTATGGTATTGTACTTGAACTCTGATGCACCTGTTGATATGTACATGTATATGTTTTTTTGTTGTTTTTTTTTATGTGAGTGTGGATGTGTATAATAAGATGGGTACCTATATGTCTTGCCATAGATATGGAAGAGCGGGTAATATATGTGTAGAGATATGTATAATTATACGATTTGGGTATTCATAATGTAATAAAATATTGATATATTCTTCGAATGCAGACATAAGTGGGTGTATGGGTGGACATGGGTATAGAGATATGTATGTGTGTATGTATGTGTACGTGTATATGTATGCATATGTATATATGTGGATATATTGCATATTATATATGTGTGTATATGTATGTGTGTATACGTGTATATATATGTGTATGTATGTATACATATATGTGTGTGTGTATGTGTATATGTGTATACGTATATATGTGCTAGTGTATATGTGCATATGTATGGATGTACATATATGGGTATTTGTATGTGTATTGCATGAATGTATATGTATATAGATATACATATGACTTTATCTGTGTATATGTATATATGTAAGTATACGTGTATGTGTGGATATGTATGTAGATATGTGTGTATGTGTTTCTCTGCAGGTGTATATGTGTAGGTATGGGAAAATACATATAGTTTTTGTGTAGATGTATGTGCAGGTGTATATAAGAACTCATAGGTATATAGTGATATATAGGTATGTGGATATAGATGGGTGTTCGGATATGTGAAGAAGTGTGTATGTGTATGTATATATAAAAGATTGTAAAAGAAGGACTTAATTTTCTCCTGGTAATATTTTATCCAAATTTCTCCTCTAATATTCTCCAATTGGAAGTGAGTTTAAATAACACGGGGGTAAAGTTTAAATTGGTAATTTAATTTAAATTGAAATATATTACCCTTTAACAATCATTATTGACGATAAAGTTATTTAAATTGGAAGAACCTTTCATAATTATGTAGGTATCTTAAAAAAAAGTCACGAGTTTAATCTATGAACAAAACTCAAACGAATAGATATCAACTGAATAATCAACTAGAAAAAGGTATGTGTATAGATATATAGAACATTGTAAAAGAAGGACCTAACTCTCTGGTAGTAATCCTTTATCCAATTTTCTCCTCTAATATTCTCCAATTGAAAGTGAGTTTAAATAAATAATACGGAAGTAAACTTTAAATTAATAGTTTAATTTAAATTGAAATATATTACCCTTTAATAATCATTATTGATGATAAAAATATTTAAATTGGAATAAACTTTGATAATTAGGTACCTAAAAACAAACACGAGTTTATTTAATTAATGAACAAAAATCAAACGAATAGATGTCAACTTAACAATCAATAAGAAAAAAGTTTAGGAAAATAAAAAAGATTACTAAATATAAAATGGATTACTTTTTCAATGTACCTTTAAAGTAATGCGAATTAACAGCGTCTAAGAATTTGAGTGAAACCTGCCCTCGTGGAATTTAATTTATTATGGTTTGTTGTAGCTTCTTCCTTTAATGTCGGTCTTCTCCCTCACCCCTTATCCATCTATATCTAGAGATAACACGCGTTAAGTTTAAGCGACGTCTAGCCTACACAGAGTGGGGTTAAGCATAAGGAATTGAAATGGTACATCTAACTCACTCATATCTTCTCTCCCACCTCACTTCCTCACTTCGTTAATTTTACATATACTTGATGCGTTCCGTCAAAAATGTGTGAATTTCTTTTCATTTTTCATTTCAACCTTTGGAAGTAAAGTCTGATGATCCAGAGACCTGTTAAAGGGGTTTGTGGTGAAATAACTTATTACATGGAACCTTAAAGTGGTCCGTTTTTATTCAAACAAAATATATATATATATATATATATATATATATATATATATATATATATATATATATATTCTTGTGTTGACTTTAGGTTCAACAATGCTTCAATGAAGAAGAAAATTGACAAAAGTGAGGTTTTTATTTTCTTGGTATAATGATTTTCTTGGTATAATGACTTAACGAGTTCTGTAATATCAGGTCAGACAAGAAAAACGCCTCGAAACTAGACAGCGGTATAATTTGATGAAACTATTCAAATTTTCCTACCTTCTGAGTCGGCCCTGTGGTGGTTTGGAATCATTCAAGTGAATTGAATAAATATATAAGACGCCGATGGCCGGGGAAATTTTTCTTTGTTTTTCAATTTTAAAATTACTTTATTTGATTTTCTTTTCTTTGATACTTTCGTATGAATCGGACAACCTTCGCCAAACAGAATCTTAACTGGACACTGTGTTGTTCTAAAACTTCAAAACCGTCAATTTTTATCTAGAAATAATTCTAAAAGTAAAGTTTATCACGTGTTTCACGAAGCAATACTGGATATCTTTTAACACAACTGGTTTCCGATTTTACATCACTTCCGAGAATGGAATTCTGTTCGGCCCTGACGTAGAATCTCATATTTAGACATCGTCGTTAAAACCAATAAAAATAAATCAAAATAGGAATCATCAAATTGGAAATATTTTTCCAACAGCTCCATGATCTTTGAAAAAAATAGATTAGCTTGTATTATTCGATGTTTTTCAGTTTCCATTTCATATGAAAGCTCCTCTGGTTTCGTAGAAATAAAATCTGTCTGTTAAATGAAAAGACGTTTTTTTAATAAATGTCTTTCAATACAAATCCCAAGAGCCACTCAATGTAGTGTTAAATAATGAGATGTGTGATATGAATCTAAGAGAAGCAAGTAGGAAATGAAGCTTATGAAGATATGTGGTGCAAAGGTAAATATTGACCATAGGTTTGAAGAGGTTAACATTGCAGAGTTTTGACAGGTTCCACGCGGGAGATTGATCCTCAAAGTAACTTAGGAAATGAGGCTGAGTCAAACCTGTGGAGGTAGCAAGGCGGGTCTTGCCTGTAAAGATCTGAGCTGGTGACCCTAAAGAATGGGACCCGTTCAAACATTTACCATGAAAATAGAGTAGCAATTCACTTGCCGCATTGTGTGTTTGGGGTCAGAGTTCAAAGATGGAAAAGTAATTCATCCCCAATAAGGGAGCGTAAATGTTTTTCAATTCTGTCAAAATAAGAAGATTAGGTGTGGGAAGATCCAGACCAGACGTAACAACGATATTCCATTTTTTTTTTAACTAATCCGTCTATATTTCTGAGATGAAGTATTGTAATTATTTACACTATTTACTTTCTTCGGACTGTTAGCCTCATCTTTTTTTTTTTTTTTTGCCATATTCAGGATGTTTCGGCCGTTGTACGCTCCTGTCTTCTTCAGGTGACTGGAATTTCGAAATAAACCCTTTATTTCGCACATCGGGTAGATTGTCTTAGTTCCACATGTTGTACCTCTTCCGGATGTCTGAGTAATCTCCCTTCAACTCTGCTCTCCAATATGACAAAATGTGGCAGAATGTAGTGTCAGTGATCTGACTCTTGTAAGGATAAAACTTGACAGAATAAGTCAGATAATTTCAGAAGCTATAACTACTAATTTTCCAGCCCCAATAGACGTTAAATAACTTTAATTTAAAATCGCATCTAAAACTGTTCATCACAAACCATAGAATTTTAAAACTAAGTTCTGTGAAATAATTTATTAAATGACGTCCAAGCGATACCAACGAAAAAGTTATTGAAATGACTAATCAATCCAACTGATTAAAATTATTTTCGCTTTCCTCAATTGTTTTACCAAGACAGCGATCAAACAATATTTCAGATGATTTGATAAAAAGAAATGAATTATTCTTTCATCATCATATTCTTTCATTTGCTACGAAACAAATGTAAAATTCGACTTTTCTTTCTCTTTTCTTTCCATTTTTCTCACATGCGTTCAAAGCATTTTGATACATTTAACACAACAAAAGGTCCTATCTATCTATCTATCTATCTATCTATCTATCTATCTATCTATCTATTCCGGTCCTTTTCGTATCTATCTATCTATCTATCTATCTATCTATCTCTGTAATACCTCTTCAAGACACCAAGACTTGTGGGATCCTGTTTCTGAAAAGTTTTCTTTTATGTTCTGATCTTACAACAAAAGGAATCCATACATTTCGATCAGACCTGTATTAATATTTTATTAACTGAATATTTAGAAAAAAAAATTTTCTGAAACAGTCGAATACTGATATCATCATCATCAGTAGCAGCAGCAGCAGAAACACCCATAGTCCTATGACCGGATGGGGTTGTAGGGTCGTTGCGCAGCTGAACATTTAGTCAGTTATTTTCGCATATCAGGGTTGAAAACCAGAAAGGTATTTATTAATACGTAGTGCGTCTTGGACAATTAGATCTGGCGGAAGTTATCCCTTTTCTTCAGGTCAAGCAACAGCTGATGACTCCAACTTGAAGGCTCGCCTTGGTCAAGAAGACATGGCCGTTGGTTCCATCAGGGCAACTCACGCCTGGCCATTGACGTCAGTCTTAGAAATCTACCCTCCACCCTCCGGGACCGACAAACGATCTCGTGTCATCACTGCACTGGCTGCATACAGAGAGTATAAAGTCCTGTCTGCCTTATTGTGTTTGACCCTACAAGAAGTTTCATCCCCGCTTCATAAGACCTTCTTTTTAATCCTTCTAGATATCAGGCCCTCTCCTTACCAGAAAAGCCTAGGGACGGAACAGGTTTCATTTAACGCTAAGCTCACCAATGCAGCAGATTGTAAAAGGTTACATAGTACGGGTAGCAACTAGTAGCAGCAGAGAATATATTATATATTCGAGAAGACAATCTTTATTTCCTGGAGGGAATATCATTTATTTTCCCGCTGAAAAAAAAGAAAAATGAAAAAAAAAGAGCAAAATATCTGGTTCTTCTTTTGTGGGATTAACTTATAAATCATCACTTCATAGTTGGAACTGTTATTTGTATTAAACTTAACTAAAGCGATCACCTGATCACAATAAAAGGAATGATTTCATCTAATATGATAATATTGATACGGCGGAAAAAGCTAGTAAGTTTGTTAAAATTGTGTCACGCCAGTCGCCCAAAAGGATAAGTTGACTGGAAAATGATTGTTCAAGATCCAAGCATTTTCCTAGACTTTTATGCAAGCTATAAATGATACGCACTTAATGACAAACCTGCTAATAAGGTGTTCTGTATAAAAGACACAGTTGCATTTTATTTAGTAAGAAGAACTGATGCGGAGAGTATACATCAAAGCAACGTACACATTGGAAAATGTAAATTTAAGGAACAAAAGTAACTTTTTCTTCAAATTGAAGAGGGTCTATCTAGTACATGATGAGGGGGGATTATTTTTTTAAAGAAATAATGATGAATAAAAATTAATACAAGACAAATAAATAAAACACTCGTCGGCTTTTGCAGTGGCGGGAAGAATTCTAGTTAAAATAATACCTAAACAGGATTTCTTTGTGCGACGACAGTTTAATAAAATCATTTCCGAGAAGATAAATTCTAATATCATTTCGCTTTTTCCGGCTAAAGTTGGCTTTAACATCTATATCAATTTGATATTACGATCAATCCAGGAGAATTCAAATGTCAAAAGAATGAATTTATGTTTAATTTGCACGAAATTGATTGTCTATTTGTGCATACAACAGATATGCGTTGAGGCTGCATTTTTCTCTAAATTATTTCCAAACTTGGACAGAATAATCAGCAGAATCGTGTGGTATTGTAAAGGATTCGGGGCGGGTTGGGGGGTAATGATGCCAAGGTCATCATCTGATGAAGGCTTTCTCTGCAGAAAAGCATTTCTCTTTGTAAAAAAAAAAAAACAACATTTATTACACACACACATGCAAACACGCAAGCACACACACAGAAAAAACACGCAAACACACACACATAGACACATAAAACACAGGCAAAAGCACACACATACACCCCCCGCATACGCACAGAAACACCCATACACACACATACACACGCACATATATGTATATATATATATATATATATATATATATATATATATATATATATATATATATATATATATATTAGAAATTCACTGATTTAAAATATGGTTTCTTCTACACAGGGATTACTATGTTTCACAAACTGAAGCTAAAAACTTCAAATTTAATTATATAATAAAATCAAAAAGCATTACTTCTGTTTCATCTTCAAACGAATTTTAGAATATTTATGCTCTGTAAATTTACATTGAGCTTTGTTTTATAAATATATATATATATTTGTGTGTGTGTGTGTGTGGGTGTGTGTGAATATGTGTGTGTGTGTGTGTGTATGTATACATGTATATACAAGTAAAAATCCGTTGTAAGTAATACAAGTGAATCTTAGTAATATAAAATATTAAAACTGATCCACAGAAACTGATCCTTGGCGTTCTGGGCGAAATAGCCATATATCATATGGAGTATTGAATTTTATATACTGGCAATTCAATATATATATATATATATATATATATATATATATATATATATAATAAAGTTTGCTATATTCATGAATGAAGAGTGATCAATATCGGAACCATGTATGAATCAATACTACTACATGATGACTGCACACTTATATAGCTCTGTTTCTTTCTTTCTCTCTCTCTCTCTCTCTCTCTCTCTCGATAAATACTAATTTTTCTCCCTCTCTTACTCTCTCTCTCTACCTATCTAGCTATTTATCTATCTATCAATCTATCGATCTATCTATCTATATCTCGAACTTTCTTTCTCTCTTTCTCTCTCTTGGTCTCTCTCTCTATCTATCTATCTATCTATCTATCTATAAATACTTAGTTTTTTCCCTCTCTTGCTCTTTCCCTATCTATCTATCTCTAGAGTTTTCTTTCTCTATCTCTGTCAATCTATAGCTGTCACTATTTATATATCTATAGATAGATAGATAAATAGATACTAAGCTTTCTTTTTTATCTATCTTTATCTAGAGCTTTCTCTCTCTCTTTCTTTCTCTCTTTCTATCTGTCAATCTAGAGTTGTCTCTATCTATATATCTATCTATCTATAGATAGATAGATAGATAGATAGATAGATAGATACTAAGCTTAACTGATAGAGCACAAATAAAGAATAAATCAAAATGTTTGTTGTTTTTTTTTTGCAGAAATCTTTCATTTGGCGATGGCCTTTTCTCTTGATTAGATTTTCTTGACTTCAAACCAAGAATCCTTATTTTTTATTCATCTGAATTTATAGACTGGTGAGAAAGTGAAATATTCAACTGCCTCGGCCACCAGTTAATTCCAAACTCCATTATAATTTCTTAATAAATAAAATAAAGGAATCGTTTTTTCCCTCACTAATCCGCATCCCATTCCTTGTCTACTAGAAGAATCTCAGGTTCCTGATATCAAATCGCTGCCACTAACCATGAAACATTGCATTAAAGCCGACAAAATTTCTCTACGGCATTTCATATCTGAGTGAAAAGCGAAATGAGGACACGACCCAAGTATGTGATTTCTGTTATGTTGACAGACAATCTTTGGCATTAATAATTCATCATTCTTTGCTGTGATATTTGTCCACTGACAATGTACTCAACGCCTTTCTTTATTTCTTTTTGACAAACACATTGTTTTGACTGAATGAATACTTCGAACAAACCAAATCAATTCCTAAGTTTTCACGGATTGCTTTCGACACAGAAGAATTCTTTCATCAATATTCAGTTTGGATCAAGAACTTATACAGACCTTTCTTTAAGAACAAGACAAGAGATTCGAATAATTTATGAACGTCTCGCTCAGAGATGATTGCTGGAGTTGTACACCCAAAGAATGGTTGTAATATCTAAAATATTCCGACTGCAAATATTTATGTCTACGTTTGATCAGAACTTTTTTCTCGGGTTAAAATAAACAATAGCGACCATGATAATAGATATCTACTTATATTAAAAGACTTACATATTTAGTGTTAACTACGCAGTTTATCAATTCAGCGTTAAGGATAGCTGACATTTTAAAGTTGATTTGCAAGGAAAGATAAAAAGTGAATAGATATTATATCGGTTAGACGTTTAAATCTTCGACTTATAATATGAAAAAAATGGAGGAAGCTTCATTTAATGCAAACAGAAAAGTCAACTATATTATTGTTGATTAGTGTTATGGTCCGGTTCCTTGTACCACGGTGATAGTCCAAGGTAGAACCAATAAAGAAGAACCCGAACACAGGTATGGAATAACACAGATATATTACAAACACGAATATATACAGAGAAGTAGAAGTGTTAATATGAACAATCAGGTTTAGTAGAGAGAACAGTGTAGTCTCGACCAGTATCACTATTCCAATGTCTTGCAGTAATCGTCTGAACGCGACTCTGTTTCGGACTGCCTCTGACACGACTCTTGACTCAACTTGAACTACTGACGATATTCAGTCACCCCACCACGAGGGTGTCATGTGGCACAAGACCTTTTTAACGTGGTCAATTCCCGAGCCATTAGGCTCGGCCAAAAAATAGCCCATTGAACCCGTATAAACGGCTTCAGGGCCGGTTTTACCTCCCCGGAAGAGACTCCGCCCTTCGGCGCAGCCTCCTTCGGGTTCCTCCCGCCCGTAGGAAGAGAGTTCAACCGAACAGTCGCTCAAGAGTTGAGCGACTGACAGTATTCAGTCTCCACCCCCCACCCCCACTGGGGCAACATGTGACACAAGGTCGGTTATTTATTGTGGGTTTTCCCGAGCCCGTGGGCTCGGCCCAAAAATATGCCCGTTTGAACTCGCCTAAACGGGTTCAGGGCCGGTTTTACCTCCCCGAAGGAGACTCCGCCCTTCGGCGTAGCCTCCTTCGGGTTCCTCTCCGCCCGTAGACAGAGAGGTGAACCGTTCTGTCGTTCAAGAGTTGAGCGACTGACTATATTTAGTCGCCCCCCCACGAGAGGGCGTCGCGTGGCACAAGGCCTTTTTAACGTGGGCAATCGCGAGCCATTAGGCTCGGCCAAAATAGCCCCATTTGAAACCCGTATAAACGGGTTCAGGGCCGGTTTTATTTCTCCCCGAAGGAGACTCCGCCCTTCGGCGTAGCCTCCTTCGTGTTCCTCTCCGTCCGAAGACAGAGAGTTGAACCGAACAGCCGCTCAGAAAGTGAGCGACAGACGATATTCAGTCACCCCCCACGAGGGTGTCATGTGGCACAAGGCCTTTTAACGGGCATTCCCGGAGCCATTAGGCTCGGGCCAAAAATAGCCCATTTGAACCCGTATAAACGGGTTCAGGGCCGGTTTTACCTCCCTGAAGGAGACTCCGCCCTTCGGCGTAGCCTCCTTCGGGTTCCTCTCCGTCCGTAGACAGAGAGTTGAACCGAACCGTCGCTCAGAAAGTGAGCGACAGACTATATTTAGTCGTCCCCCACGAGGGCGTCATGTGGCACAAGGCCTTTTTAACGTGGGCATTTCCGGAGCCATTAGGCTCGGCCAAAAAAATAGCCCATTTGAACCCGTATAAACGGGTTCAGGGCCGGTTTTACTTCCCCGAAGGAGAGACTCCGCCCTTCGGCGTAGCCCTCCGGGTTCCTCCTCCGTCCGTAGACAGAGAGTTGAACCGAACCGTCGCTCAGAAAGTGAGCGACAGACTATATTTAGTCGTCACCCCACGAGGGCGTCATGTGGCACAAGGCTTTTTTAACGTGGGCATTCCCGAGCCATTAGGCTCGGCCAAAAATAGCCCATTTGAACCCGTATAAACGGGTTCAGGGCCGGTTTTACCTCCCCGAAGGAGACTCCGCCCTTCGGCGTAGCCTTCGTGTTCCTCCCGCCCGAAAGCAGAGAGTTAAACCGAACCGTCGCTCAGAAAGTGAGCGACAGACTATATTTAGTCGTCCCCCACGAGGGCGTCATGTGGCACAAGGCCTTTTTAACGGGCTTTCCGAGCCATTTGGCTCGGCCAAAAAATAGCCCATTTGAACCCGTATAAACGGGTTCAGGGCCGGTTTTACCTCCTTGAAGGAGACTCCGCCCTTCGGCGTAGCCTCCTTCGGGTTCCTCTCCGTCCGTAGACAGAGAGGTAAACCGAACTGTCGCTCAGAAAGTGAACGACAGACTATATTTAGTCGTCCCCCACGAGGGCGTCATGTGGCACAAGGCCTTTTTAACGTGGGCATTCCTGAGCCATTAGGCTCGGCCGTGGTCAGCCCATTTGAACCCGTATAAACGGGTTCAGGGCCGAGTTTTACCTCCCCGAAGGAGACTCCGCCCTTCGGCGTAGCCTCCTTCGGGTTCCCTCCGTCCGTAGACAGAGAGGTAAACCGAACTGTCGCTCAGAAAGTGAACGACAAGGGCGTAGTGGCAAGGCCTTTTTAACGTGGGCATTATGGCCATTAGGCTCGGCCAAAAATAGCCCATTTGAAACCGTATAAACGGGTTCAGGGCCGGTTTTACCTCCCTGAAGGAGACTCCGCCCTCGGCGTAGCCTCCTTCGGGTTCCTCTCCGTCCGTAGACAGAGAGGTAAACCGAACCGTCGCTCAGAAAGTATTGCCTACCCTGGGGCGCAGTATTTATTAAGTATGGAATAGTCCATTATTATGATTATGGGTAAGATCCCATAACAATTAGTAATAATAAAATATGGATTAATAAATTGTTACAAATATTTCCCTGAAAAACTCATTATTTTTGCCATATGAATTTGACTGACTACAATTATTTTGTGAATAGTATTTTTATATAAATACATTGAACTTGATGGGCCTTTATGGTGACATTAATCCATGTTGTGTTCCATTCTCTTGTGTTTTTAAGTGACAAAGATAATCTTTCCAGACCTTGAGAGATAATGTTCATCTGTTAGTATATCCCTAGAGAATAGCACGTAATATGGAATAAAGTTGCCAGCAAAGGGTTAAAGTCATGGTGTATCGGTTTGAAAGTGGAATAAAATAAAACGTCGAATAAGGAAGGGGCAAACTTAGCGCAGAGGATTTGAGCGAAGTTTGTTTGAAAAAAAAAGCATGCAAAGAAAGAGATAAAATGCTGAACAATTTCAATACAAAATAATTTGCGAGAGAATTTTTGTCTAAAAAAAAACAATAAAACCATAATTCATTAAATAGAAATCACTTGAAAGATAACCTTTGAAACAAATATACAATTTAATGCCACTCAGTGTGGAACAATGTCACGACAAAAGAATCATATTCCCCTGGCAGCAAAAACGAAAAAAATGGCATTCGGTGTGGATGGAAATCACAAAAAAAGAACATTGAAAATTTTACATTTGGCTTATTCTTTAGACATTTCATTTTCAGATTATAATTGCCCTGGTTCCAACCATTTCGACGTTTCGAAAGAATCCTAGAAGTCTTTGTGATTTCAAAACCGCAATAGTTTTTGTTTTCTTTTTTTTATGATGAAATGCACAATTTACTAAAAGTTGGTGTAAGTTCACAAAATTCCAGATAAAATATTTTGGTGATAGAATTACATCAAGTCCAATTACATTAATAAAATTTTCTGTCTGAATTTAATAAACAAAGAGAAAAGACAGCCAGAGTTCGGGAGCGGCGTGACAGCAACACGCAGGCAATAACAATATTAGTTCTTGTTTCATAATTGTCCAATGAGATAATAGCCTAGTTCCTCAGCAAGGGGCCTCTGCCTGGGAGGTTTTGAGGAGCGTGGAAGCACATCTTAATTACTGTTGCTCCCAGATCCAGCCTGACCCGGGGTGGTAGCAGCTATGGGTAAATAACTGTCAAACTAGGGTCAAAACACTATAAAAGTATAAAAATACATTTTTATATTAAAAATACCAGCAATACATTTTCATAGTAAAATAAATCCCCAACAAAATATTTTTGTAAAAAAAAAAAACAATATCACCAGCAATACATTTGTGTAAAAGAAA